CGCCACCGCGGTTGCAACGCCACCCACGCCGCCTCACTGAGATCGCCACCACGAGGCCAAGAGAACGGGGAGGAGGCGTTGGACGATGGGAGCAGCAGCGCTGTAGCCGCGCGGGAGGGAACCACCTCCTCCGCTGTCGTGCAGGAGGCTTGAGCCTCCGGCACCGTCGCGGTCGCCGTCCGGACGCAGCAGCAGGGCATACCAGGCCACCCCTGGCCCGGCCAGGCCCGAATCGGGCCTGCTAAGCCCTGCCGGCCACGCTGCAGCAGGGCAGCGCCAGCACCACCAGCACCCCAACGCCCATCGCGGCTCCCCCGCCTCCTGGGAGCCACGCCGTCAACCCGCCCCGCCGTCGGCCCGCCCAGACCCAGATGGGGCCCAAAGGGCCTAGATCTGGGCCGAGCGGGCGCCGCCTGGCCGCGCCGCCGCGCCACCCCGCCGCCAACGGCGACGCCGCCATCCAGCCGATCTCCTGCGTCGCGCCAGGAAGCCCCGCCGCCACGCCGGACCGCCGCCGCCTAGGGTACACCCCCCGGCGTCCTCCGCCCCGCGCCGGAGAGCAACCGAGAGGGGAATGGTCGGGGGGCGCCGCCACCAGCGTCGCCCGGGCCAGGCCCAGCGGCGAACGCCGGTGACGGCGGCGGGGAGGGGGGAAAGAGGGGGAGCTGGCGGAGGAGGAGCCGGGGCGCGGCCGGTCGCCCGCTGGGGCGGCGCGGTCGCGAGAGCCCGAGGGGGGGGTTGGGTGGTGGGGTTCAGTACCATTCACTTTCAACAACACTTGATTGTACATTTCAAAATATTTGGGTTCGAGTTCATGGTTTAGCAAGACACCTATTCATCACATCGGTATTGCAATTTAATTTACTTCATAGTGGCTTTGCTTTTTATTATTTTTGGATGTTTCAGGAAGACACAAATTTGTAAATAGAACATGGAGAAGAACTCCACTGTAATCCACTAATACGTATAAGGCCATGGATCAGGATAGTGTTTCAAGGATTGAAATCAACTAGGATAGCTTAGATAAACAGATCAGACATCCTGCACTGTCATTTGGAATTTGGAATTGGCTTCATGCAGTCCAGCTCAAAAAACTTTTGTCCGAATGATAGCGTCATCATTGTCTAATGGTTAGAGAAAATGGCGCGGCAAAGCGCGCGTACACTTCTAGTTCATTTGAGGGACAATTTGAGGGACAAGATTTTTCGGACGGAGGGAGTAGCTCCCATATCTTTTTCTTTTCTTTTTCTGCACATACACTTCAATTTGACACGACAATAGTTCAAAATATAATATTTATAATGTTAGGGTTTAATCATATTGAAATTCACAATTCAACCGCAGCAGCTGAGATTCAAATTTATTTATTTATCAAACATGGAAATGACAAGTAACAAAATGGTTATGCCAATATCACAAATAGGTCATCAAGCATTCTCAAACATAGATCATCCAGAAAAAAAATCAAAACATAGTCCACAAAATGAAACATCAAAGTTGTTAGATATGCGACCACCAAGCTCAAATGTTGCTCCAGTCAACACCACCATTGCTATCTCCATTGTAGCTACGTACGATAATGACTAGCACCTCCAAAATCACTTCCAAAGCCACAATCAAAACCACATCCAAGTAATTGTTGAAAGCAGTTGGCCACCTTAGCTGCAAGCCTGCAACCATCCTTCAGGCCTCCTTTGGTTTGAAGGAATTTTGTAGAAATTTCATAGGGTAGGATTTTTATAAGAAAAAATCCTACAGAGCTCTTTGGTTTGTAGGAATGGAATCCTATTTTTATGGAGGAAATCTTCCTATCCTCCACATTTCATAGGAAAATAAACATTAGTCTAGACTCAATGGAAAAAATTCTATGTTGTGAAACAAAGGACATCTCCTTTCCTATTCCTACTCATAGGATTTGATGCATGTCATCTCATTTCCTATGATTTTTCTATTCCTATAATTTTCCTACCCTATGAACCAAAAGAGGCCTCAATCTCATCGCCAATATATATGTCCCCACATCCAGCTCCAAGGTACTATCATCATACCCCCCCCCCCCTCCGGTTTGAATGGCCCATATCATAATTTCCAG